CGCCCAGACACGGGCAGGAGAGCTTCCCACTCCAGCGACCGACTGGCAGAGAAACAGGAGGTGGACGTATGTGTGTGTGTGTGTGTGTGTGTGTGTGCACGCACTCCGGCTTCCCATAGAACTTCCTGCCATCTGCCTTCTCCTCTTCCTCTCTCACCCCATCTCCTCAGACGTCTTCATCATAGGGCACAACATCGAAAAAATCCTTCCCTCTGCCTGGACGGCTATGGGTGGTGCATTCTACACTAGAACCTTCCTCCTCTGGTTAGCACTTTAATCTCAAATAAGAAATCAGTGTAATATAGAGGATGCTCTTAATAACAACAAAAGCAGACTGCAGTGAGGCTGCTGTCTTATTGGGATCTATCATGATTATTTAATTACCCAAAGCAAAACATGCCATCCAATATGTAAAATTATATGGTATTTTGGTAAATTCATAATTCTTAATATTTGCATGATATTAGTAATATTCAGTTAGATGAACTGCGTACTAAAATTGTACATTTACATTATGCAGTAGTTTATTCAGCAAAATAAATCATGAGAGTAGAAACAAAAACATTAAGTACAATATGCAAAGCCATAGTAAGGTCCATCCATCCATTATCTATACCGTTTTATCCACGGGGAAGTTGGAGCCAATCCCAGCATCATCGGGCGAGAGGCGGGGCACATCCTGGGCAGGTTACCAGGCCATAGTTAGGTACATAACTGAAATAATGGAAGAAAACTGAAGTAAACAAATCAATGATAATTAGCCAGAAAATGCAAATGAGGACAAAGCAGTTTTGGTGACTTGCCTGTAATTTAATAGTTTGTTATAGAGTTTATTAGCTGATAAACAGAAAACACATTCGAAAATTACCGAGAACAGAACTGTGGGCCACATTCAAATTTAGTTTTCAGACTTGCTGAGAATGAAAGCAGAGCCTGACGTTTGGCCTGCCGAGCTAAGCTGAGCCGAGCCCTCCGGCTGCCTGCCTCACACTGTACAGCTGCAGCCATTCGTTACACCACAGCCTCATTGGGGTGGGGGGTGGCAACTAGGGTTGTAAAGGGGCGGGGAATTTCCAGAAGGTTTCCGGAGTTAAGCTGGGGAATTCTGGAAATACTGACCTCAGAATTTCGCAGCCCTATTGGCAATCGATCTTCACATTGCACCCCCCAGCTGTACATATCGAAAACCGTCACTTAGCCAGTAGCCATCCATCGAGGCCGGACAAACTGTCATCAACACTAAGACATGGGGGGGGGCCGGGGGGGAGAGGAGAAACAGGAGAGCGAGAGAGAGTGCAAACGAAAGAGGGAGAAGGGATGAGCAAGAAAAGGAAGAGAGTGTATATGAAAGGAACAGGTGCTGCTGTGGTAATGAACACGTTAGACATGTTCTTAAGCGTCCAGCAAGCATCCAGCACCAGGCGCTGCAGCACACACACCCCTTACACACAGAGCAGTGAAAAAGCATGTCTGCTTCTTGATTTCCTCTAGTTTTGCTTGTTTCTGATCTTCAAACAAACTTAGCATAACACAAAAGAAACCTGAGTAAACAATACACATTTTTTAAATGAGTATTTCAAATGTTCTCCAGCACCTACATCACCCATGCGAAAAAGTAATTGCCCACATGGTCACTCAAGCAACTACTGTACCAAATTTAAATGATGATGGGTTAAATTAAACCAGACACACACAGACTTCATTGCTGCAAGCCCTAATGAGTCTAAGCAGCACTTAAACAGAACCTTTCCAGCCATGCGAAGTTGACGGCAACAACTCAGCAAACAGCACACCATACCTTTTTTTATTACTATGAAGCTCAAAAACAATTGTTATGAATACGCAAAAACAGAGGAATTCACAGCACGGTATTTACCAGACGTCCATACCTCAGAAAACAGGCTGGCTCTCAAATTCACAGCTCAGGCTTAAAAATCAGCTTCAGGTATTTTTACTCTTAGTAATTATCAGTCACCATATAATATACAATTGTTCTGTTCTTGGTCATTTTTTTAAAACCAGTTTGACATTTCCATATGTATTTTGTTACTTATTAAAATATTTGCACAATCGCTATATTTTTAGAGGCCAACAATTCTAAATTAATGCTCTGAACAAATAAACTGAAGGCCAATCTAGGTATTTTTGGAGCTAATACTCGCGGAGCACTGTGCAGGAATGTGGACTGCCCGGCTCATGTGTCAATCACAGCTGACTGGCACTTCGCTATTCTTTCTGACTGCTTCCTAATCCCTAAATAGGGAGGGGGGGGGATGGCACTTCAAATTCATGAATTATACAACCCCTCCCGCCCCTGGATCTCCCCGCTTCCCAAACACACTAGCAGAATGTTCCCTGGGGGCCTCGGTCCTGCCACCCACAGACCCACCGCTGTAACCCTACATTACTACTTACATCCCGGCTTTGTTATCGTTCCTTTCTCCCATTTTACTCTTCTTTTAACCCCCTTGTGACTGCATTGTTTTGCACTTAAAGGAGCCCCCCGCCCCTCCATTGGCCGAGTGATTCCAGCCTATATAAATGAACCGACCTTAGCCTCACCCCCGTTAACAGGCACACACCGCTACCGGCGCAGGAAAAGAAACATCCTTAAATAGATGCGGTAAAATTGTCATTCGTAGTTTTATTTCAGATATAAAACAAATACCTCAGACACACAGGCCTATATGCGACTTCTTTCAGTTGTATGAGATTATTTGCTTATATAATATACCCTGCCAGTAAATAGGCATACTGGTCCTAAATTACATTAATTTGCGCTGGGCACTGCAGTGCTTATAATGAAGCTACGCGATTCCCCGAAGGAAAAGACGCACCGCCAGGTACGTCGGTCATCAGATCGCACTGCAGGCTTTCAGCCCCCAGACCAAAGCATATTTTAACGGCGCTGTCGCTGTCGCTCAGGTGTCAAAGCCGCAGATGGAGAGGCGCCGGAGGGCACGAATCAACGGCTCCCTCGGCGAGCTCCGGGCATTGCTGCTGCGATCACACACCGCAAAGGTCAGGCATCGCAAAAGAGGGCGTTATGTTACTTATCCCGTTTATGACAGTCATTAGTATTAGTATAATCGTTGACTAATACGGCGCATGCGCAATAAATTAGGTAAAGTACAAGTTATAATTGTTAATTGTGCGACCATAAAAGTTTTAATGTCCATTAAATGAGAAGCTTGCTATGCCCGCGTCGGTCTCAGAGTTTTTAATTGCGTGGGGTTGTCCCTTACAGTCTTGCTGCAGGTCGAAGATGGAGAAAGCGGACATCCTTGAACTAACGGTTCGGTACCTGAAAGCCTTAACACAGGCGCCAGGTGAGCCGCGTAGCGGATTACGCAAACAAAAACACGCATGTTACAAATTAATATATTTACTTACAAAAGTCATTAAATCAAATGGGCGTAAAAATCCATGTGGGCCTATCCGTTTTACCATACTTTCTGATTCAGTCGTAGGTGTGTTGTATATATTTTAACATATTATTTTCAGATCCTGCTGACTCCGCGATGTGCGTGAGCCGCTCCTGCGCTGGTTACGCAGATTGTGCAAACGAAGGCAGCCGGTTTCTCCGCGCCAGCGAAGGGGTCCGGGGCGCTGTCAGGGCCGCTTTGCTCCATCGAATTTCGGATCAGACTGCGGCGCTCGCACACGGCGCACTGACTCCGCAGTTTGCTCCATTTTCTTACCATGCCCCATCCGTCCACGGCTTTTCTTTCCTATCCGACTGTGACCCTTCTCCGCTGGATACCCATCCTCCGCCGGTGCCCGCTGGACAGATCTTATCTCCTCCTGTCGCCAATTCCGCTTCCCAGCCGCTTCACCTGCTCGCCTTTGAAACGGCCGATAGCGCACAGATGGTAAGCGATCGGCACAGACGCCGGCACGTATTCAGCCCAAACAGCAAGACACGGAGTGCGACCACATGGGTCTGGAGACCGTGGTAGTGCACTGCCCATAGGCCAAGGCTCCGGGACTCACGCGTGCAGGTCTGTGCATTACAGAGAAATAAATTGTAACAGAGAATGATACATATACTAAGCAGCCACTCCGACTGCATGGACGCTGCAAATGTTTTTCTTTATACTGTGTTAAAAAAAAAAACACGCACTTAAGATTAACGATGATAAAAAAATAACTGTGTTTCGCACTTTATTGCCAGTATACATTGAACATTCACCGAAGAAAGGCTATGTTAGCTGTAACAAATTATGCATATTACAGTGAGGCTTTGGTTACGGTGAGCTTAGTCTGGAGAGTTATGCATAACTTTGTTTAAGCTAAATTATGCAGCAAAGATGAAAATGTATAACACAGATCGTCCACATCAATTCTCCTCGGTAAAATATTTCAAAATATATTGCTGCAATTGAATGACAAATAAAGCTGAACACTGTACCCACTGTGTGTTCGTTAATATAAAGATTAAAATGCTGGGCCACTTGCACCGTCTGACATGGGAAGATGATCATTGAAAACGGAGAAGTATGGCGGACCTTCCATGTGAACCGAAAAAGACCGAGCATAACTAATGAGGAATACGACACTGAGCAAGAAACACTCAACAACGGACGTGGGACCTACATTAAACCAGGGGCTAAAATTCATGACCAAATCTGGACCAGCTGATAAGTGTGTGCGGCATTTATTTATACACATCCGCTAATGATACACAGGGCTGATTCTTGATACAAGAGTGGGGATCTAGCAGCATTTCATTGAAGGAAAAAGTGAAAGAAGCGGCTGAATTTGACAGTTCAGTTTCCTACTTATGAACAGCGTTAACAAGGCAGTAACACGAAGAGCGAATACAACCAGCACTTAAGAGTACATATGGTTGATAAAAATCATAAATCAAAGCTTCAATTCGCATAAAAACATGAACATTTTATTTAGTCCTGCTTTCACGTCATCATCCTTATCTTAAACGTTCTCTATTAATATATAAAACATTAAATAAAAACTTGGTCTTAAACATTAATAAAATTTAATAAAATAAGTTAACAGTAGCCTACAATCTTCCTATCAGATAACTGTTATCAGGCAGGAGGGGGTAAGTTCGTTAGACCTTACTTATACATTATGTACAAATCAGCAATGAATCACTCAGATGAACGCGGAGGCTTTGGGTAAGTTTGCCCAGGCTGGTTAAATCGTAACGTTTTAAATGTGCTAGCAGTGTTTTTTTTTGGAAAGTAAACCCCTTACATTAACAGTTACTGGTTATAAGCAAGTAAAAGCCTGATAAAAGGTCTGGTTGGTCCCCAACAAAATAAATTGCCTTCCCTTAACCCTGAGAATCTTCCCTGGTTTCCACAGGCACCACTTTGATGCGGAATGTATGTATATATTGCCTACACATTCTGGGTTTTTTTTTACAGTTGTGCACGAAAAGTTGGAATTGGAAAAACAGGTAAACTGGTTTAACAATGTTAATTTTCTAATGCCGTGGGTGGAGACGGGAGATCAGGTGACTACAGCGTTTGCGCGATTCCGAACTCGAACGCATGACGTTGCAGGCAGCTTGGCATCTACAGTCTTGAACCATTTATATGTTTATGAGAGGAAGACTTGATTAAAACAGAATCGCTTTCTGGAAAAAAATACTTCATGTAGGAAAAAAAGCGAAATTGGTTCTTAAGTATGTTTGGGGAAATAGTGTATTTGTAAAAATAGCAGTCGTGGAGAAGACGTATTCGCGATGCTAACCAGATAACCCTAATTCCTCCCCGCCTTGCTTGTTTTACGGGGAAGACTGGTGCATTCTGGGATTAGCTGGTAAAGGCATCGGTACTTTTGGGGATAACAAGGGCACCTCTATTAATGGCGTGGTGGATATCCGCAATATCAACACAGCATTGAGACACAACTGGTTTTAGCAGACATACAGATGCACAAACCAAATTACTTAAATGTTATTTTGTGCCATTTTTCTATTGTTTACATCATAACGGCTAAGGTGTTTTGTGCAGGGTCTTACAATTTTGAAATAGTACTTGAAATGCTATTTTTTCTATGGTACTGCAAAAGAAAACAACCGCTAGTTTTATGACGAGTTTGATTAAATGCCTCATTCTTAGCATTTAGTCACAAAAAACAGAGCCTGGGAATTTTCATTGGCTCCCTGGGGCACAAACAGACCTCCACTGCAAGAACACAACCAGTCTGGTTGACGAAAGAGAGCCAATGTAACTGAATAAATCCAAAGGGCTAGAACAGGCAAAGATCTAAAAATAGTCATCCAATTGCAAACACACACAATCGAGAGATCTGGATAGAAAAAGTTATTAGTTCGCATAGATTCAGGTAGACAGAAAGACGCAGAAAGAAACTACATTGGCAAAGCACATGAAAGCGAAAAAGAACCATCTTCTCAGAGCTCAGTACATGTAACAGGAGTAAGACCATGGATTAAAAGGGTTGGGCCCAGACCATTGGTTATGACCTCCAGCTGAGAAAGGTACTTCTGCGATTGGTTGGACCCAGCCGGTGGGCGGGGCAAGTACAGGAAGCGGACGGCAGCCTGTGCACTGTGCTCCATCACCAAAGCATTCACACTTGACAGGTATTCCTCAGAGACACCTGGGGCCTGCCTGGCCCAGCCCCCCAGCTCCCCTTCGCCCACGTCGCCCCCCCCGGGAGTCCCGGCCCGCCGCTCACCCCCAGCACCTCCACCCGGCCTGTACTGCCTCACCACAGCGTCCCAGCCCACGATCTTGATGGAAGCGCGGATGCGCAGCTTTCCCAGCAAGTCGCGCAGGGTCTCCTCCTTGGCCATCCAGCCCTGGTCACCTGACTCCGCCTCCACGCACAGGAAGATGCGGAGCCGCGCACGGCGCCACCCGCTGGCCATGTTGAGCACGCAGGCCATCTGGAGCAGAAAGAGGCTGCAGACGTCCACATAGCCGCTGTTCTCGGGCCTCAGCAGGTTCAGGGGCCACACGTCAATGGTCCTCTCTGCCCCAGAGGCGGTCGGCGACGCCCCGGTCCGGCCTCCCTCCAGCTGGAAGAAGCAGCGACCCAGGCACACATTCTTCCCCATCTTGATGGCGTCAGAGATGATGCCCACATACTCCTCCGGGGACAGCCAGCGGGGAGACTCCGAGCTGCGGACAGGAGGGAAGTGGGCTTGGAGGGATGGCAAGTCCACCCCAAAGTTGTCCCCCCTGCTGCCGCCGGGTCCCGCAACCCCCTCACAGAAAGCTGGGTCCTGCAGGAAGTAGTCGTCCGGCACGCAGTTGTCATAGAAACCCAGGACAAGCGTGTTGGGCTTCATGCCCCCTGAAAGCCAACAGGGTAGACAGAACGACAGCATTACCTTGCTGAGGGAGACAGAGGGAAAAATGGACAACTTGTATGTTAAATGAAAGCAGTCCATTGTATTATTGATCCTATTGGGTTTACTAATTGAAGGACATTATGCTACATGCAGTTCATGGTGAACCAACATGCAGACATCCATAAAATAGAGGTAGAGAGGGACATCTACCCAATGAGAGAGAGACGGAAGATCCACCCAATCACAAAGAAAGAAAGGGTGAAGAAAGTCAGCCAATCAGAGGAGAATAAGGGTTAGAAGGACCCACCCAGTCCCGTGATCCTAAGCAGGTGCTGTGTTCCCTGCCGGACTGACACAGACAGAGTCAGGTCCACAAAGGCCTTCACCCCCAGCTTGTCAACCAGACTCAGCCAGAAGTTATACTGGGGCTGGATTGGGTCTGACGGCAGAGTGTCTGATGGGAGAGGGAGGGGGAAACACAAGAGTGTTAGATATCTCTGATACCGAGTTCAAGGATGATACTTAACTGCATGACCGTACGTTCACTTCATAATTATATTCTGCCATCTCAGCTCTTCGTATGAGAATACAGATGGCTCATTCCCCTACGGTGCTGTAGGAAGTTCTCCGGGTGATCTCTTCATCCTGCTGCCGTCAGACTACATAACCGCTACAGCTCCCCCTGCACCTCCTCCAACACCTCCTCCTATCTGTTCTCTCCCTAGCCAGCAGTACTGAACACTGACAACATAGACAGATACAGTATTATGCCAAAGTCAAACAAAATGCTTAAAGCTATTTATCCGGGTTAGGGAATGTTTATTCCCAGAAATATACACTCCATACCCAGAACAAGAAATTCTTCTATTCTCCAAAAAGTTACTGATATCTAGTTGGATGGCTATAAATTTGGCACCTTAAAGTACTAAAAGTACAGTACCTGGTGCAGTGGGAAAGCACCCTCAAACTTTTGCAAAATACTGTATATTGTCTGTCTACTTATATCTATGTATTCATCCATCCATCCATTTATCCATAAGGAGATCTCCATTCCACAAACATCCATCACTTTTCCATTTTCCGTTGGCTAGTCTCTGATCTGTGACACATTACCTCCACTTCTCAGCCATACAGCCCTACATGAGTTACACTGACATGTCAGCTCTGCAGCAACATCTCAGCTCCACGAATCCTCAGACCTACTGCCTGGGCAGGCCGTCATCCCACCTCAGCCCCTCTTCCTCACCCAGGTCTCCCAGCTGGACGTGGCCCAACACAAACAGGCCACCCTTCTTCAGCTGGTTCACAAAGGTGATGAGCTGGCAGGATGAGCGCGGGTTGGCCACCATCAGCAGCACCTGCGGCCTCCAGAACTTCACGTGGTCCTTCCGCACATCCAGCATCAGTAGGTACTTACGCACCTGGAGGACAGCCAGGTTGGAGGTGAGTGGAACCAAGCAGAGCAGTGGAGACGAGGGCGGATTCTAGCGTCATTCTTGAGATGTTTTTGCAAAATGCGTATTGAAAAGCCTGCTTCCTGTAATCCAAGCAGGGTCAGTCAGCCCTTTTTGCGGCCAAAATTTGATTAGCCTAGATGTCATGTGACATCTTCCTTTCCATTTTCACAGGCTGATGCGATGGGGGCCCCCTGGTGGCCAATGGGCTTTAAGCAGCCTCTTAGGTCACTTATGTCTTGGGCTGCCCCTGATTCTAGGTTTTGGGTAGGATTGGTTCAGGTCTCAACAGCTCTGAGAGTAAGTGTATGTCTAGTCAGGTAGAATATCAGAGGTGTTCAGTTCAGTTACAGTAGTGGACACAGCTACGTGCCCCTTACAGAAAAGTAGGCGTTGGCTTTGTGTTATAGCCTGGCTAGTAATCATATGGGAGTGTGTTTAAGTAGGTCACACCGTGTGGCCCAGTCACGGCGTACCTGGTGGAAGATGAGCGCCTGGCTGATGTAACCCCAGCTGCTGGTGGGGGCTCTGTAGTGGATGAAGACGAGCAGCAGAAGCAGGAGGGCGATGCTGGCTGAGGAGTAGACAGGGTTGATCACAAACATCATCACCACACATCCCATGATGCCGAGCAGGCAGGTGTGCCAGGAGAAGAACTGGAAGGTAGGCCTGAGCAGGAGAGGGAGGAAGAGACAGAGAAACGGAGAGGTCAGGAGGAAGACGGGGAAGAGGGAGCAACGCAGAAGCCCGACTGATTTATCGAGAAGCAAACTAAATTTAAGGTTTCAGTTTGGATTCGTACTCAGCTCAGTTTCACAGAGACAGACCAACAGAGCATGAATTGAGGTGAAGAGGAGGCAGGTACAGGCTCTCATGAGCGAACAAGGAGGAGGACTGCGGCAAAGCCCCCCAAGGTTACCTGAAGTTGGGGGCAGACGCCCACTCCAAGGCCAGACAAGCCAGGTCCACTGCGGCATAGGCCAGCAGGTAGAACACGGTGACCAGGCTGGTGATGGAGTTCAGCTGGCCAGCAAAGACCACGCACTACAAACAGGGGGGGGGGGGGGGGGGGGGGGGGGGGGGGGGCGCTGCGCCCAGACACGGGCAGGAGAGCTTCCCACTCCAGCGACCGACTGGCAGAGAAACAGGAGGTGGACGTATGTGTGNTGACCCACAGCAAACCAGGAAACTTCAAGTACAAGTACAAGAGCTTGAGTGGGTACTGAGTTTTCCACATAAACGTCTGACAACCTAAACCTACAACCTCTACTGCATCAAGGTGTTCAGTAGGTGCAGAGCAGCACAGCACTGCGGAACACACAGATTTTGCAATGGCAAAATTCAATGGAACCTTATACTCTGATCACCAGCTGGCCTGGGGCTGAGATACAGACCCAAAAACAAGCTGTCTGAAGAAACTGGAGCTACTACACCTTCCACCACCAGAGGACAGAGATAGTGCAGTTTGTACATCACTGCACCATCCATCCAGCCACTCTAACTGGGTCCCACGTGAAGCAGAACCCCCACCCAGCTCACCTGTACGAGGGCCCAGGTGTACACCACCGACATCCAAGGATTCCCCGAAGTGGAGGTGATGGTGGCCGGAGCCAGGGGCAGCCCTGAGGATGGGAGGAGTACGGTACGCATCAGAACCACCCAAACAAATCATATAAGACCAGGGCTAAACTCGTGCCAGCAGTGAGGTGGCAGTTATTAAGCCCCGCCCCTTTCCAGGAGAGCCCGCCTCTCACCAAATAACTGGTCCAGAGCGAGGGCATGTAAGATGCGAGACGCCCCAATGAGGGAACTCATGGCGGCTGACAGGGAGGTGCAGTAGACGCCGATGGTGACGAAGGGCGGCCAGATGTTGATCCGCTGGAAGAAGCCATAGTCCTGAATCAAGAGAACCCTGTTCGAACACAGGGACATTGAGAGCACCCCCTGGTGGTCAGCACTGCACTTACTGACAAGCATGTGTTTGGTAATGGTTATGTCTGAAACGGGTTTGGAAACTTACATGTTTAAAAAGGTAATTTGAAGGATGAATATGAACAGCTTGCGGGAAATGTATGCATGCAAAATAAGCCATTAAATATCCTAAATTCTCTTTTATTTAGGAGTAGGCAGTAATGGAAACAAATACTGAATGGAACAAACTATTGAAACGTCCAACTTGTCACACACTCTTTTGGGGCAGAGGTTAAAAAAAAACTTTTCTACTTTAATAACAGAAAAGAGTTTGAACATTTTCATCATTAAAAAGGCATGATCACCATCAGTGTCACAATGTTACCATCTGGGTGCCACATCATTGATCGATTTTTATCATCCAACATTATTTATTTATGGGGGCTTCCAGGATGCACTTGCACAGACCTGTCACAGGTGGAGCTGATGAGCACAAAGAGGAGCAGGTAGATGAAGAAGGTGTAGAGCACCGCGATGATGGTCCCTTTAGGGATGGACTCACTGGGATTCTTCAGCTCTCCTACACAGAGAGGGAGTCCAGTGGGTGAAACCAGAATGAGAAGGTTGAGGGTTTAACATGCCCCCCCCCCCCCAAAAAAATGCTATAGCATGTTTTCATTCAGCGGGATCAAACAGCAGGATAATCAGAGAACTACCAGAACAATAATACAGAAAACCATCCACCCATCCTAAAAACTGCTCATCTATGTCAGAGTGTATTGAAACCCACCTCAAGATATCATAACATTACAACAACAGTAGAAATACAGTAACATGCAAAAGTCTTAGGCAGCCGGAGGCAATGATGTTCAAATGATCTTCATGTTTGTGTGAAACTATACTATTATAACTGTCACAATGTATCAGCGTAGCTATTTCAAAATTTCTCCTAAAATCACCCCAGTATTTGGACCAGCCATCCAATACATCCATGTAGTTTTTCATTTGACAACTAGCACACCTTGTATAGCAAATCAATATCTCATTGACTTTTTGTAAACTAATTAAATTAATTTAGTGAGATGGTGGTGAAATGTAATAAATCCATGGGAAGGAGAGAGAGTTTGGGAACTGAAGCGGTGTTCATCTAGCCATGAACTAGATATCATTAACTTTGTGGAAAACAGAGGAAATTATTATTAGTTTTTAGTTCTAATTCTTAATTTGCATATGTTGTGATGCTAAGTTGTGTTTTTAGCTCTGAGCAAAAGTGCACTTACTACCCAGAACTGCAGGTTTTTTAAAGTCTGTTGTGTCTACACCTTCAATAAAGAGGCTGAAATAGTGGATCACCCCCCCTGTTCCTGGTATTTATCAGTGAACAGGTGTGGCTCATTCCAGCCAGGTAGGATAGAAAACCTACTGGACTGCAGCTCTCCAGGACTGGAGTTCGAGACCCCTGGTTTAGGCTATATCACGGTCCTCAAAATGATGGCGATATGAATGCTCATAATCACGATGCGATATTTTATCGGCATATTGCCTAGCCCTAACAGCATCCCGAGTCACAGTAGCAGTGACTCAGAGCCCATCCCAGGAAGGGAGAATGGGAAGCAGAGAACATTGTGAGATCTGGATCTAAGATGCGGAGCATAACAGCATGCTAACCTGACATGTTAGCCCCGGCCATGATGCCTGTGCAGCCATTAAACATGACGGCGAACACAGTGGCGAACGTCATGACGGTGTTGGTGCTGTAATCCAGCGAGTATCCCGCTGCAAGGAGGGCAGGGGATGGGAACAGGGACAGGAGGAGGAGGAGAAATTTGGGGGATCAACATAGATTATGGCGCCTTAACTTTGATATTCACCGGTAATTCCATCTGACTGTTTATAGTGCCTTTTAATTTGCTCCAAAACCTTAACCAAACTCATTCTTACTCTACAGTCTGGTTCCCATCACACTCAAATCTCTGCTTCATGAGAGTTTTACTTGCACAAAAATGTTCTGAGGGCAGAATGAAAAATGATTGGTTCAGAGAGATAACCGATCAGATGTCTTGGTCCTACCTCCTCTAGTTACCTGGACCCACTTACTCTACAATCTGATTGGTTATCTCTTTCTGCCCTCAGAACATTTTTGTGTAAGTAAAACTCCCATGAGCAACTTTCTCTCACCCCCAACACACTCAAGAACTCCACCTTTCTTTTTTACCAAATGCTGGGCTCCCCAAATAACCAGAACCCCCACCTTCAGAAGAATACAGAAACCAGTCACTCACTGCCCAAGTTATTCCTCAGCGTGGTCCGACTGAAGCCCGTGTAGGTGGCATTGTACACCAGCGTGCTGTTGCTCTCCCCCTGGTGGCTGATGATGAAACTGCGGGGCCCAAGCGCCAGGGGGCTGATGACAATTGACAGCAGTGAAATGGTCACCACTACGAGGATGAGGAAAGCAGCACGGGAGTAGATGTGCGAGCCCACCAGACAGACCAACAGGCAGAGGAGCAGCACTGCAGAGGCGTACAGGACCCGGTACCAGTAGCCCTGTGGCAGCACCTGCATGCTCTCCGACAGTGAGGAGCCTGGAGAACCAAGGAACCCAGATCCATAGTCAGGGACACAGGACAGGACACCCAGGCAGAACAACACACTGCTAATGTCAGTATAAGGCTACATCATACTCTATAACAGTTTCTCCCAACCCAACCCCCGTGAATCCCCAACCAGTCCATGTTTTTGCTCCCTCCTGGCAGCCAGCCAATCAAGAACAGCAAACACCTAGTACGGATGTGTTGAAAGTTGGGACAGAATAAAAATGGGGACTGTCTGGGACTCCCCCGAGGATTGGGATGGGAAACACTGCCCTATATAGTCAGATCTTAAAGGAGAAGACCATCGACAAACTGCAGAAACAATTTTTAAGTTTAATTGATTAGATGGTTTTTATTTAAAGCAGTGGGGGGGGGGGGTGCCAGGAACAGGACTGAGAACTATTGAGCAGTTTTGCACCCATTTATATAGCCGATATATTACTTAAGTCTGTGAAAAGTTCTACTTCAAGCACCTGGATATTTCACAGAAAAAAACTCAGGTTAAAGCCCTTTTCAAACATCCAATTCCCAACAATCAGGGGATTCAAACCAGCACCCTTCTTGCTCTGTGCCCTTCTCAACTCATGGGAGTTTTACTTACACAAAAATATTCTGAAGGCAGAAGGAAAAATTATTGGTTTAGAAAGATAACCAATCAGACTGTAGAGCAGGTGGGTCAAAGCAATTAGATGAGATATCTTGATCCAGTCTCCTCTAGTTGCTTTGACCCACCTCCACTACAAACTGATTGGTTCTCTCTCTGAACCAATCATTTTTCCTTCTGCCTTCAGAACATTTGTATGAAAGTAAAACTCCCACGAGCCTCTTCTCAACATGCCCTGCGATGGGCTATAATACGCTGAACATTTAGCTTTAAAAGCAGAACTTTAGATAATGCAGACTGAGATGTCAGATGTAAGGCCGGCTAAGTAACTCCCTTGGCACACAGACCTTCAGCCTGCCCAAAGACGTCGAGTATGGCCTCAACCAGGCCCAGCACGTAGACCCCACATGCGCACACGTTGGCCAGGTAAAACATGAGCCCGATGCTTCCACCAAACTCTGGGCCCAGCGATCGGCTGATCATGACTGCAGCGAGCTGAGTTAAGGGTCACTTTGCGTACAGGACGGGCCACCCAACCTCAGAGGTGGAAAAAGTACCAAACCATTTTCCATAGACCTCATTTTCTGATCTCGATTAGTCTGGTCTGACCGATATTACTCAAGACAAGTTCATCTGCTGCATGTAGCCATTTCTGGCCTGCAGCTATGATTGTTCGTTAAGCTATATAGGTCAATATGTGTCCAATACTGGCCTCAAAAGGATACAATAAGCCCCACCCCCCTGGACGGCACCATTGGTGGAGATAGCACAGATGGACAGGATCGTCAAGGAGATGATGACGTAGGCCACTCCCAGCATGATGAGGGCCTGCAGCAGTCCGGCATGACCAATAACAAATCCTGCAGGGAATTGATGGAGTTCATGAACTATTTTTTAACAAAACGAACACTCCACAAGTTTCACAGTAATCACACAGCTCTTCCCCACACTTGCCATGATGTGTTTATGCAAAAACACTCAATTTGAACTGTAGAATGTTAATTTATATACTGTGGCACTATCATGAAAATGTAATCCCTCCTTCCTTTCAAACCAACTTGGAAAATATAGCATTTAAACAATCAAACAATCAATCTTTATTTGTATAGCACAGTTTTACCCCCAGGGTTTGCAAAGTGCTTTACAGAAATTTTAAAAGAAGAAAAAAAACAAAAAAATCAAAATAAGCACAAAAGGAATAATAAAATAAGTGCAGAAAATAAATTAATAAAACGACTGATTATCATAGGTGAAAAGATGTGCTTTCGGCCCAGTTTTCAAAGACATTCAGAAGCTTGCAGGTTTTCTGGGAGAGAGTTCCAAAGTTTGAGACCAGTGACTATCCATCCATCCATCACTGTAACCGCTTAATCCCAACTGGGGTCGCGGGGGGGGACCGGAGCCTATCCCGGGAGCAAGGGGCACAGGTGGGAACCAACCCTGGGCGGGCGCCAACACACCACAGGGCGGGCACACACACACACACACACACACACACACACACACAGTTACAGGGCCAATTTATAGTTACAGGGCCAATTTATACCGGGATCGAACCCAGGACCTTCTTCCTGTGAGGCAGCAGCACTAACCACTGCGCCACCACGCCACCCCCATAGTGACTAAATAAAACAAAATAAAAAATTGAAGGAAACAAAGTGAATGTTAAATCAACGGTTTAGTAGCAAAAGTTCAACACTGAGAACCATCCAGAGCATCAGTGTAAGGCCCTGAGGGCACCAGCTCTACGAAGCTCGAATTCCACACTTACTGTAAGATTTCACAGCTTACCCTCAGAGAGACTCAACACCAACAATAAACTTTGTGGAGCTAAGCCCTGGACTGACAGACCAAAACATTATCATTATCAAAATTCCCTAGATTTTGAAGATCAACTAGTTTATTTAGCCGGTTCATTTAGTGGCAGAATATAATATTTGTATAAAAATCATGTTGGTACAGAGAGAGGTTTGTTAACTAGATCAACATTCATTCCAAGTTGGTTTTAGGTTTAGTGAGTAAGAGCGCTGGACAGGGATTAAAAAACCGCCATTGGGGAAGCCCCCAATATATTTTACAGAGGGAGTGAGGGGGTCTCCCACAATGAATTTTATAAGGCCCACAATCCCACTGGCCCATCGGAAATCCAGGCCCGGTAACTGATCTAATTTGTTACTCTAGGTTACTCTGAGAGCCATTCACACAGTAACTCACCGGTCCTGAGGAAGAGGACAATACTGAACATGGAGAGAACAGTGGGCACGACCACACCAAAGAAGGTGTTCAGGCTGCGAGTGGAGGCCGCTGTGGGTGCGGAGTCGGCAGAGCCCGACCCGGGTGCCCCCGTTTCCCCCACCATGTTGAAGAGGCCGTAGGTTAGCAGGGGGGCGTGTTCATTCGACATGGCTGTGGGAGGGAGTGAGACACAAGTACAGCGGAGAAATTTTAACATTTGATGTTCTGTGGTTTCAAAACAATTTTTAAACAAAACGAAATCGCCAAACAGTACCGCTGCCACATTCAAAGCAAAGTGTCAATTAACCAAACGCTCCAACCTCTTCAAATATTACTTTTTTTTTTTTTAAATACATTAAAATGCAACTGCAATTCAAATAGTACGTAGGTTGTTATGGCTAAAGTTATTTGTTAGGCAGTGCATAACTGACGCATTCGATCTTTTTTTTTTTACACAAAAAAAATGCTTAAACCTGTAATTAATTGTGAGCTACGAGGTTATAAAGGTTCAGAAAGCGGAAGGACAGGAGTCGGCGCCGCGACCCGGAACGTGGGTCAGGATCCGTTACCGTGGGCTGGGATCATAATAAAACATTCTTAGAAACCTGGGAATCGCATTCGCCCCTTCCGCATTAGACATTTTCCCCATCTCCGTGAATAATAATAACACACCACACACCTTATGCTTTCACCCATATTTATACAGATTTTACCCACCTGGTTTAAAAATTCTGGGAGCGACGAAAGCTCTTCGATGTGCAAGTAGCTGCGTGGTCGCCGACCAGCTATATTTTCTTTAAAGAAATAAATAGCAGGTCATTAGTTATTAAAATGTATTCCTAACAGCCTAAATCCAGAAAACGGGAGTCGGAGCAGACCCGCAGGAAGATGCCTTTAAGCATCACTTAGCAATAACAGCGAATAGAATATAAACCAGCTACTTCTCCTCTGTCCAGCAATACAGCTGACTGAACTGGCCTCCATTTTTAAAAGGGCTGCATAAACTTGAGCTCACGAGTCGCCCTAAATTTCGACCATTTCCAGTTGATGCAGTCACACGAACAAATAGGCGATCCGTCTGTTTTTTTGTATCCACAAAGCTGAACCGCATCTGTGTTTGGTAAAGTCATGGGACCCGGCGGTTCATGTGACGGCGCATCACTGGTGAGTAAGGAGAAAGGGGAGGTCGCATCCCAAACGCACCGCTCCAGGGTTTCCGCAAACAGATCTGGCGGCGTGGATACTGATCAAACACATTACCGGCTTATAGGAGACACAAGCTAGGGGCGTGCGATCGTACATCCCACTGCGTAATTAAGCCTTAGGCCTACAGTATGTTTCCGTTATGTATTTCATATGTTTCGAGGCGGTCACGTAAACAATATAAGATACAATATTGATTGGCAGATGGCGGTAGGATATCTCCTGAGACGGAACCCATACTTGTCTGAAGCATCATTTTAAGTGTGTGTGTGTGTGTACACACACACACACAGCGGCATGGCGCTAGGAGATGCGTTCAAATGGCTCATTTTCAAAGGTTCATCGTTTTAGGATGCACTTAAGCTTGCAGTCGCTAGATGTGCACCGACGGTGATCGAGTGGCGCCCCCTTCCGGTATCGCCGTCGACTTGAGACTTGGAAGTAAACGGCACGCCTCGTCTAGTAAAATTGGAGGTAGACTGCATTATTACAGCACAAAATATGCCCGAAATAATAGTGAATTATTAAAATATCGAACAAGGCCTATTTTTTCCACACTTGTTTTAATTTACATTGTTTACTAGTAATTGTACTGTGTTCCAGGTCCTTCCCTTAAAAGGCAGAAATGATTAGTGTTGATTCAAATAAACAACAAAATTAAGTGAATTTACTTACACACACAAACTTACAAGAGAACATTTTAAAACAAATTTGAGGAAGCACTTCTTTACACAGCGTGTAGTTAGAGTATGGAATAGTCTTTCTGCTAGTGTAGTGGAAGCCAAAACCCTGGGTTCCTTTAAATCAGAGCTAGATAAGATTTTAACAACTCTGAGCTATTAGTTAAGTTCTCCCCAAACGAGCTTGATGGGCCGAATGGCCTCCTCTCGTTTGTAAATTTCTTATGTTCTTATGTACAATAAGTAAGTTTTAATCGTAAAATATTTTTGACGTTTGCATCAGTTTGTAAATATACTCAGTAACAAATGAGTAGTACAGTATCTGACAAAACGGATGCTAGACTATAATTCTTGTGCTTAGTCTACATAATACAAAACCTGTTTTGCGCACAAAATACCCTTATGGGTCTGACAACTATCCAAATCCACAAAACATAAGAACAATGCTCATAAATTTTTCTGTCATTCATATTTTGTAATCTCCAGTTTTTAGGTGTTTGCAATGTAAAACTATCCTGTTCCGATGCTTTGAAAAATATGCCTCCATCCAATCTTTGTTGTCATTTTGCCTACAATCAAATAAGGGCTGCTCCTAATGAGATGATGGACGGTGTCCTGGGGGATCTCCTCCCAGATCTGGACCAGGGCATCACTGAGCTTCTGGACAGTCTGAGGTGCAACCTGGCGGCGGTGGATGTTCTATTGGATTTAGATCAGGCGAGCGTGGGGTCCAGTCAATGGTATCAATTCCTTCATCCTCCAGGAACTGCCTGCATACTCTCAGCACATGAGGCCGGGCATTGTCATGCACCAGGAGGAGCCCAGAACCCACTACACCAGCATAGGGCCAGATAATGGGTCCAAGGATTTCATCCCGATATCGAACGGCAGTCAAGGTGCTGTTGTCTAGCCTGTAGGGGTCTGTGTGTCCCTCCATGGATATGCCTCCCCAGACCATCACTGACCCCCCACCAATCCGGTCTTGCTGAACAATGTTACAGGCAGCATAACGTTCTCCACGGCTTTTCCAGACCCTTTCACGTCTGTCATATGTGCTCAGGGTGAACCTGCTCTCATCTGTGAAAAGCACAGGGCACCAGTGACGGACCTGCCAATTCTGGTATTCTATGGCAAATGCCAATCGAGCTCCACGGTGCCGGGCAGTGAGCACAGGGCCCACTAGAGGGCGTCGGGCCCTCAGGCCACCCTCATGAAGTCTGTTCCTGATTGTTTGGTCAGAGACATTCACACCAGTGGCCTGCTGGAGGTCATTTTGTATGCTCTGGCAGTGCTCATCCTGTTCCTCCTTGCACAAAGGAGCAGATACCAGACCTGCTGATGGGTTAAGGACCTTCTATGGCCCTGTCCAGCTCTCCTAGAGTAACTACTCTCCTGGAATCTCCTCCATGCCCTAGAGACTGTGCTGGGAGACACAGCAAACCTTCTGGCACGTATCGATTTGCCATCCTGGAGGAGTTGGACTACCTGTGCAACCTCTGTAGTGTCCAGGTATCACCTCATGCTACCAGTAGTGACACTGACTGTAGCCAAATGCAAAACCAGTGAAAAAAGGTCAGAAAAGGTGAGGAGGGAAAAATGTCAGTGGCCTCCACCTGTTAAACCATTCCTGTTTTGGGGGTCGTGTCGTTGCACCTCTAGTGCACCTGTTATTAATTTCATTAAGACCAAAGCAGCTGAAACTGATTAACAACCCCCTCAACTACTTAACTGACCAGATCAATATCCCAGAAGTTTGACTGGATGTTATACTGATTTAATTGTTTTGAGCTATTGATATCTGTGAGCATGTGTTAAGAGGCAGTTAGAGTGAGAATTGGTGCTGTAGTCTGGATGAGAGCAGATCAGGAGCTGCATGGACAGGTTTGTCCTGTAGAGGCAGAGCTGATCATAATTCCTGCCAGTTACTACACAGTATGGATTTCATCAGCAACCTGGTTTCCAGACCCAGTCTGCGTGGAGACCCAGACAGCCCACATTTTATGGGCGTTCTGAGCTAGGAGAAAAGGTTGGGAAACTTTACCCTTGTAGGTTCAACTTCCAGTACATTTACATTTGTTTAATTAGAAGATGATTTTAAGTAACATACAATTCAACAAGCAGGGTCAGTCAGTCCCTGGAGCAATTGGGGGTTAGGGGCCCTGCTCAAGGGCCCAACACTAGTAGCGAGTTATAAGGCTTTAATTTCATTTCCAGATTTTATTTAGTTGATTATTTCAGTGAATACTAATTCAGCTGCGGTAGAGTACACTAAAATCTGAAAAGAGAAACCAGGAAACGGCAAAGAAATGTGGGTTTGTGGGGATGTGGTCACTAGGGCTGCAATTAAAGATTATTTTGCCAGTTTTTCTCACGCCCTCCACCTCTGCTTCCAGTGGGTGCTGCTCCTGTTCTGGGCTCCAGTGCATGTTTTACCTCCCCTGCTCAAGGCTGAATGTCACCCTGTTGTGCAGACTCTGCCTCTGCCATAAGCTCTCGCAGCAAATTCAAATAATGACCTACAAATCAAATGAATCTCAAACTTAAGCTTGATAGCTTAATCAAATGTATTTGTGACATTAATACATGCGATCACAATAAAATTAAATGAAAATGTTAAATAATGCAAATTATAGTGCAAGTAGTCTTTTAATTAAATGAAAAAATGTACAAATAAGTTACTCAAAATAGCAGCCTCTGCCCTAGCATGAGGGCTGTTAACCTGCCTTGCAACTTGTGGAAGTTGCAACTCTGCAAATAATAACTTTGTTTAAAGTGATATAAAAGTAAAACAAATAGTCCACCCTATTTCAAATCTTGCTAGGTCTGGAAGTCCAAAAGTTTCAATAAGGCTTCAGATGTAAATGGAAAGAACTTCTTTCAGTTCAAAATAACAATTAAGGAAAGTTTACAAACACTTTAAATTGCAGTACAAGAACGTGAGCATATCTATGTGCTCTGGAGTGAGGCTGGCTCTCTTTTTGGGGGCGATGTTTCCAGCTGCTGAGAAGAGACGCTCCGGGGGAGCTGAAGTAGCGGGATACACAAGAATGATCTGGCTAGTGATGCAAGAGTTGGATACTTTGCCTCGTTCAACTTCCAGCAAGACACGGGGCTTATGGAAGTACATCAGCACCTGCCGTAGGACAACAGATGAAGATTAGCCTGGTGGCTCAATCTGGCACATTACATTTGATTTTAAATGTTCATTAATATGCACTGTTCCTATTTAAATAAATAAATCTTACTTCAGTAGTGATCACTTGGTTGTGCGCATCCTGTCCATGGCTCTCGCTGTCACTGTCTGCTGAGTCACAACCAAACAGGCCTGTTTGGAGTTCCTATCAGCTGAGGCTGTGGTATCTTCATTCCCCCTGGAGGGCTGGTTATTTACAGTAGTACTGCCATCCATGGACTGTAGGGACAGAGCTTATACTCTATTCTGAATGCCAAACATCTCCTCTGGTGTCAGGAATTTCAGTTTTCAAAATTGTGCATCTACTACGGTCTCACTTTGTTTTACTATGTTTATTTGAAATTGCTAAATCCATCTATCTTCCAACTGCTTGTTCCGGATCAATGGGTTGCTTATCGTAGCCACAATAGCATGGCCTAAACTTGTCATACTAAATCTGCAAGTCATGCTAACATGTTTATAATATGAATTATCACGTGATAACAACTGGCCAAGAATGCAAAGACAGATGACACGCGAGTTTGGTCTTGTCTGGTTGCATGCACAAAAGAATGAAGTGAATCGTTGTGGACATTGATTGTCACACAATGCTTTGAGATATCTGGGTGTAAGGGCACCTGTAATGGCAAATATGCCATCAGTTCATGATTAGTTTAATTCGGGTGGTTTTTCTAGTTCACGAAGCATGAGCGCCACCAGATTTTAACTAATTGTGAACTGATCGTATGTTTGCTGGGCCTGAGTTCTTGGTAACTTAAATGAAACCAAAGTTATTTGTGTTCTGATACAGTATGCAAGTATTCAAAAATAAAACAAATATATAACGCAAAATTGAATCAGTGGAATCTAAGTGTAAAATAGAGTTTACGGGAAATTGCAACGTATCCTGACCTTTATTTACTTATTTAGTTAGTGTATATGGACTATTCAGACAAATGATTTCACTAAAAAGAAACATTTAATATACCTATTTTTTCTGCATATGACAGTCTGTAACAGCAAGGCTATATTACTGCATCATTCAATTACTATACTGTTGTTGAAATAAACGGCGAACCAATAAAATTCCAAGAATAAGTTGCCAAGTGATAACGGCAGAGGTATAATGACTTCTTGTGAGACTCCAAAAGCTTATAAAACGTCCTTTTAGTTTGCCATTCAGTCCCTTAACCTACTGTTGCATCTATAGAAACACCACTTGTACCAAACTTATGTGAACCAATTAACATCCATACATTTTCCATAAGATCTTATCAGCTATCACTCTCAGAAAAAAAGGGTAAAAAAAATTGTTGTTGCGGTCGCTGCGCCCTGCTTTTGGCTTTGTGGCGAGAGAGAGTCTCTATGGACTTGAGGTCAGAGCAGAAAGACACATCATGCCAGATATCACAGGAATGATGCGAGGAATGCTGTCTCCTGGAACTGGTTACACAACACCTGGAAGGGTAACACAGAGGGCAAAGTCGTGGACAGCAAGTTTGTATTCGCTTCTGTGTTTCTTGGGGGAAAGGTATTGCTTTTGGATTTCGAAAACATCTTAGGGATCTTTGAGAAAGTTCCAAAACTTCCAAGAGTGTGAGCAAATGTTAGAATAAAGGTGTGTGGACTAGCGTGTTCATTCTGACTGGCCAGTACCTTCTTGACCCGAATTCCTTACAGTTTAGCCTATTCATATTCATGGCACTTTTCTGAAGCAGCAGAACCCCCCCCCCCCGGTCTGCTCAGCGATTCAAATGTCCTGCAGCAAATTCCCACCCACCTGCGGTAGTAGAGGGCAGGCAGCTGAAGCGGATTGGCGGGCGTTCGTGTCAGTCTCCAGCAGAGACGGGGAAACCAGACCTTCTATTCAGTAGGACAGGAACCAGGAAACTCAAAGAGCTCATGCAAGTTTTGTGGAGGGGGTGGGGTTTCACTCAGGAGACACACACACTTGCAAAGAAAAAAAATGCAGCACTACGGCTACAGAAGCAGACTCCGACCCTGCGCTCAGACCAGAAAACTACTCCAGAACTTCAACATGAGCGGCCAGATCCGTTTAGATACCAATCTGGAAAAAGCTCAAGCAATGAAGAATGAAGACAAGGTCTTCAGGTACAATGGGATTCTCTACCCCATCCTCAGGAGCCCAGAGGAGAATTTGAAGGCCCTTGTGAATATCGAAGCCAGAACTGATGACATCATGCTTGTGGCCTTCCCCAAATGTGGTAAATGCAACTTTATATTAAAAATTACTGCTATGGCAGTTTAAGAGACTCACATATGACATTTTTAATTCATATATATAGTAGTTGGATATGATTACTTAACTACTGCTAATCATAATAATATGAAACTGTGAAAAACTTTCATCAATGCCTGTAACCGACTGAGTTGATGCAGAGATATTCTGGTGTTATTGAAGCTATCCGTGCACTATACGTCACATTTATGTACATATGACAGTTTTTTCCCTCGTGGAATTAGTACAATAATTCTAAACGTAAACAACAGATGTTACATAATTACGGAAGAGCTGTCGAGTAACCGCAAGATAACTGGACCATTTCATCTCCCAGTGAAAATGAATAATGGGACTGAAATCCGTCCAGCTTGTCAAAGCGACAGAGACGTGGGCCGACCTCCTGAGAGGAGAGCTAGCATTCCAGCTCCGTGTTTTCGTGGGGTCTCTTTAGCCTCGTTTCCACCAACGCGATACCGGGGCTGGTTCAGTTTCAGTTCAGTTTGCAGCATTACTACACGATGCTTAAAAGGACATGCGGTAAAACAACAAGCTTGAATAAACTAACACTCACAGATGAGGGAGCCTTTACGGAGACAAAACGTTGTAAAAAGCTTACAACAGTATGGATTGTTTTTGCTGAAAATAAGATATTTTACGTAAAGTATTAACTTGCACTAAAAACTTGTATGTTTCACATAAAGGATGCAACCCTACATCGTTTTTTTAATTCTGTGAAAAACGAAAGATCGATCTGCTGGCCAAACGTAATAATAAAGTATAAATATATTTAACAATTAATAACGTATAAATATGTAACAGTTTGAATAAATAAAATATTGTGGCGAAGAGATCACGAGGCGGACTGCAAAGTTTAGTTTTTAGCAGACTTTTATTGCGCGATCGGTAAAAGGACACCGGTAAAACAACGAGCGAAAATAAAGAATAAGCTGAATTACACACACAGACGGGGAACCTTTAAGGAGACAAAAGTGATTATAAAGACAGGGCGCAACGAGTCATACTCCGGAAACTTTTATTCGGTTTGGCAAAATAAATCCAAAGAATTAAATACAGATTAAGTTTACATTACTTTGACTTCCACTACGTAACATTTCTGTTCCGTTCTTTTTTTAAAACCGGTGGAAATGCAGGCTGGTTCTCAGAAGGCACCAAGAGAGAACCAGTCCTGCACCAGCACCGTGTTGGTGGAAACGAGGAATTTGAGGTGTCTGGATGGAATGGAGCCCCATGGGGCCCTTGGATAACAATCTTTGGATTTTCGGTACTAGGCCCCTCTTGCTTTGGTTTTCTGAAAGTAAAAGCTTTCCTCAGCCTGTACAAAAAATAGGTCCTTCCTCCCCAGGCTTCAATTGGATGCTTGGGGTTCTGAAGAAGATTGTAGCTGCTGTCAAAGGAACAGAAAGTCAGATAAAGATGCACCCACTGATTGAGTTTCTCGACCCAGCTAAGCAACAGGTACTAAGCCCTGTAACCTTAGCATGAACCTGAGGTATATGAGAAATACGCATATGTTTGTGAGGCCACATTACACTGGCTCAGGAGTAGCCTTGAGAAATCTTGCTTTTGATAAATATGTCATTGAATGGTTGTTGAGGCAGCTGATATGGCTGTTAGTTTGATGGTGGGCAAAATATTGAGAATATAAGTTTTAGGAACAATAGCAGAAGTGCAGCCTGAATGTCTGGAATCTGACAAAGTCAAGCATATGAAAGGAACATGCATCACCTCATGTTCTCTACTGCTCACCTGGACTGAGAGGACATGGTGTGTCCAAGCATTCACCTCAGCTCACACTAGAGGCTGACCGGAGGCCTGTCCTTTATGTTCAACATAAACCCCGGTCACCAGTGCTGTCATATCCCAGCAAACACTGTTTCCATTGTTTGGGTTATAAGTACCCACAGTGCACCCCGTGTGCTTTAAAGAACTCATATGCCTCATTCTACCCACACTGTGCTGAAAGATTTTCGAGTCGCCTGTATTTTTTTGGGTGTCACAACACCAGGAGGAGCCTTGTTACATTTCAGACCTCCTGCGGTTTCCCACCTCTTTTACAGAGCAGTATTCTGTTTGAGAGCATAAAATCACTTACGTATTACATGGCTCTATTCCTCTCAAACCTGACCCTCAGGACAGAATTTGTGTTATGAGGCCAGTTTGCTATGGCAACTGGGCGCAGGCCATGTGACCTCCTTTGACTGTGTTTGTGCTGCAGATGCTGGCTGACTTACCATCTCCCAGAATCCTCGGGACACACTTGCAACCCCAGAACATGCCCTCTTCTTTTTTCGCCAGGAAAACCAAGGTTCGTGCTCGCTACACACATTTGTTAATCCTGTCTTTCCAGAAGCCAAGCTGACTTCCTTTGTGCAGAGGTTAGAATTCTGACTTCCATGTTATGTAATGGCTATGGCTTGTTAAAAGCAGCCTGGTTATAATCACTTTAATATAGATCCCATTTCAAGGTTAACCAACAGACAATGACCAGCACTTATTCTAACATAAATAGGATTTTCTGAAACTTTAAGCAGCCACTGAAGTGTGGTCATGTGTAAGTTCTTAGCCAATATTCAATTCACTAAAGTTTTTTATAAAGTGCCTTTCAGAACAGTCGCCCCAAGGCATCTTAACATGAGTAAAAAGGGAAAAAGGAAGACAAAAAAATGAATGAAAGAAAGCCAGATGATAACAGAGGAGAGGAACCAAAAATTCCCAAGTGAGGAGAAAAGAACCTGTGGGGCTCCTAGGTCAACAAGGTCAAAGTCGGGATTTAAAGACTGAGACCAATTTGGCATCCCGAACATGAGCTGCCAAACCATTCCACAATAAAGGGCTATGCTATGCTCATTTTTAATCTCTACTCATGAACAATGACTGGGTGGACTGAGTTGTCGGTGACGCCGCCTCTCCGTAGATCGTGGTTATGTTCCGGAACCCTAAAGATACAGCCGTCTCCTACTTTCATTTCACCAACAACAACCCAGTGCTGCAGACCGCTGAGTCCTGGGACAAGTTCTACTCAGACTTCATACAAGGAGAAGGTAATCTCGCCCACAAATGCCCACAGGCACCTCAGGAAAAAAGTATTTCTTAATATATCTATATAATTTATTGAAATATGCTTCACCTACCAATTAGAGTAATTTCATGGAAAATTTAAGTAATGTTCTAGTGTAAAGTTTTGTGTGTTTGGGGGGTGGGGGGTTGTTGTTTGTGTTTACTGGTTCATTCCCAACTGAAAAATTCACTTTGTCCCCACCCACATTTCAACAACCAGAGTCGAGTCAGAAGATGGTAGCTAGATAGCTCGTTAGCAGAACATGCTGCTTCAGCATCTCCTGAACATTAGTGAAGTGACTATGTGGCGGACGGTGAGGGTGAATAATGATAAAAACCACTGCTATCTGTGTTTTAATGTGTCAGACAGATACTCAGCCTCTCCTGATTCAGTGGAATTCCCAGAATTACCCAGGGAACTTTCAAAAATGGCCTGATGAACTTTTAAGCATTTAACTTTTTTGCAATGCAGCACTGCTTCACTCTCTGACCCACAGACCAGAATCCTCTGCTGCCAGTTAGGAAGTGACTTCACATTGCTATGTAAATGCCAGCAGTGTTTTCCTTGGGTCCGTAAAATGCTTTATCCCTGCACTGTAGCCTTGCTTGTACTTGATATCAAGCAAGACTGCATAGACTAATATCTACTGATAAAATCTCAGGGTACAGCAATATGATCTCTCTTTACTGTAGTGTGCCATTTCACTGTTGAGTGTTTTTTGGAGGAACAAGACGTCAGATCTTTAGGTATATGCATACAAATTCTGCTTTTCATAATTGCCATTCTCTAAAATGTTCAGGCAAGTACATAAATGTGTCATTTATTAAACATGTCTTCCATAAACCCTAATTTAGGACATGTCCTACAAAGCCTCATATGTGATTTACATTCGTCTCCATTTCCTCCTTACAGTACCTTGGGGTTCTTACTTTGACTGCGCCCTGGCATGGGAGGAGCATATCGACGACCCCAATGTTTTGGTTATGACCTTTGAGGACATGAAGCAGGTAATTTAGGTGGTGCAATGGGGTTCCTCCTGAGCCCTGAAGTTCCAGGTCTTACTGTTAAACTTAATAGGGACCTCCAGGGTATGAAAAGACATAGCAGCTTATTCTGACAACACAACAACAGGGTCAGCCTTGTAAAGCTCTCAGACATACCCCCGATCTCAGATCTGCAAGGGTAAGACAGAAAAATCATACTGGTGTAACACTTCCTGAGGCTTCACTTCAGAAAATCGTGGAACTGCATGGGAGGCCTAAACTCAATCATGAGATACTGTATAATATTTTTAGTTGTGCTGTAACAGTTTAATCCTGTTTCTGCAATGTTCTTTATGTGTGATGGGGTCACATGATATGCCCATCTTCATTTGAATTGGGATTCCCACTACTGTTCAGAACATGTGCCAAGGGATAGAGCAGATTGCCCAGTTCTATGGCTACAGCTTGACTGAGGAGCAGGTCCAGAGCGTCGCCAAGGCAAGTGGTTTCGACACAATGAAGGAGAGCTCCAAGAGCATGTTTGGACAAATGACCGACGTTATATTCAGGAAAGGTAGGTCAGGGCCAACTCTCTCTCCGCTCATTTCTGCCACATACATGTTCACTGGGGTGTCTAAGGTTCTCCTTCAGCCAAACACGTTTATCATAGTACTTTATGCCAATAGTCACATGCCTTTTATAATATATGTATCATATAAAATGTTGTTTTTCAGGGTAGGAGACTTACAACAAATTCACATTTTATTAATGTAATGGATGCTTTTTTTTATTTTTGAGAAAGCTGGCTCAGTTGTGGGTTAAGGGCCTTGCTTAAGGCTCCAACAGTGACATCACTCTTCGGAGGCTAGGATTTGAACCTATGCCCCTCCAATCAGAGGCACAGCATCCTAACCCACTGAGCCACATAAGACAGCTGTTGTTGTTTTTTTTTTTGTAAGATGCTTTGCTCCAGGGTAGAATGCTTATACCTCCAGTATCTGCTGAGAAAGCAAGATGATTGTCAGCCTCTCATAGGGACGAATATTTTCAATAATGGGTCTGGCGCAATCCCACAAGCTTTCTGCGCCCTTCCTGCCTTTCAGGCGAGGTGGGAGACTGGAAGAACCTCTTCACTGTGGACCAGAGCCAGGAGATGGATGCTGCTTTCGAGAAGCACCTGGCTGGGACCAAGCTGGGCGCCAAGTTGAAGTACGATGTGTACTGCAAGTAGGCTGTGATGGCCAAACGGAGACAGGAGCGGGACATGCAGGAGCGGGGACATGCAGTGCAGGAGCGGGGACATACAGTGCAGGAGCGGGACATACAGTACAGGAGCGGGGACATGCAGTGCAGGAGCGGGATATACAGTACAGGAGCGGGACATACAGGAACATGTATTCTGAACCTCATGTACACAAACCTCATATACTAATAGTAAATGATTTTAGGTTAGAAGTGATACTTCTGTATAGGGTGGGTTTCTTTATAAATTCTTCAAATGTACTATATAAAATTGTTGCTTTTTTATTAACATGTTAAAATGTTAAAATTTGCCTTGATTGAATTCCCCATTTTTCTGTGTGTTTCTTTCCACAATGGTCCTGAATTTGAGTGAGAACTGTTGTTTGCACCATGTGGACAAGGGATAGAAAATGTGTCCTGCTAAGACAATTTCAGTTTAGTTCTGTGTTGCCATCTAATGAGTAAAATTGTTGAGGAAATATGTCAAAAGCAATGAGATCCTTCCAAGATCCACTGCAGGAAAAGTGCTGCTCCCAGTGCAAGTTCCCGGGGGGGGGGCTGTCAGCTTCTGTCCAGGGCACCTCTCAGATGAGGAGGGGCCTTGTTTCCTCCTCTTCTGGCTCTCTGTCACTTTGGAGACCGAGGCCTGATTGCACCATTTTGCTGTTCTCTCATATGATTGGCTAACCTCACCAATGCCTTCTCCTCCTTTCCAATACGCACTGAAAGGCGGCTATTGCATCCACAGAAATAAGTAGAGCTGGAATCATTTCAGCCACTTGCTATGATTTTTAAAGTAAAGCAGCTACTTAAAAAGCTTTTATTTCAATTCAATTCAATTTTTTAATATAGCGCCTTTCACAACAGCCACCCCAAGGTGCTTTACATAGGTGAGCTGCGATACATTACAACATCATTAACACAGAATAATACAACAGAAGATGAAAGACAAATGACAACAATCATCCATTCATTTTCTGAAAGTATTCAGGGCAGCAGGGGGTCCAGAGCCTACAGGTACAAGGCAAGGAACGGGGCGCCTGCCCAGCACGGGGCGCCGACCCACTGGCAATCTGGCAATTCTAATTAGCCTTAGCATATTTTTTGGACTGTGGGGGGAAACCAGACTACCTGGAGAAAACCTCACAATGACAACATACAAACTCCACACACATGGAACACATGGCAGAGACTTGAACCCAAGTGGCAAAGGCGTGAGGCAACAGTGCTAACCACAGCACCACAGCACCCCCAAACAGGAACCAAAAACTCCCAATTAAGGAGTAAACAAATCTCTGGGGGTCCAAGGTCAACTGGCTGCCCAACACCACAAAAATAAAGTTTTCCTCTTAAGCAAATTATGAGTAACCCTGGCATTAATGGAAAGAATAGAAATTGACATCACAATATATAATACAACAAACTATTCAACAAGCAGTAATTACCTGGAAAGCTGAAGGTTTCTCACAAAAAAATTCACATCACTTGCATTTGACAAATTCTCTGGCTCCTATCTGTTAACTGACCAAAACAGGATAATTGTGTATTTGCTTGTACAAGTTCCATCCCATCTGCGAAAGCACGTGCCCCAATGAAAAGGGCCTTTTTACTCTCTCTCCACGCCTTTTCTGCCAGTGGCCACAGTCGTATCTGAGCTGCTTGTCAAACCAAGTCAGATCCTCCTTAAAATAAGGCCCCTGGGTGTTCAGCTATTCACATACCTTGGCACGCTTCCATATCAACCTTCTCACTGACCAGAAAACAAACCTCAACCCTAATCACTGCTCTCGTTTTTTCTTATCCTCTATCTTCCTGCCAAGGCAATGGGCCACATCAGGCGCTTCCACCCCACCCCTTATCAGGAAGTTTTTTTCACACCCCTCTCATCCTCACTTTCACATTTTCACCGAAATACTCGGAAAGGTCACACACACACAAAGACACCATCTACGACTCTGATTTTCTTGGTCATTTATTAATCACTTCCAAGTCATCTATCTTAATTTTCATTTCTGCATTCGCCTTCTTCAGATTTTCATTCTCTTTTTGGAGCGCTACACCGTTGCTGTGAATGGAGTTGAGAGTCACAAAGACTGTCAATATTAGCAGAATTATCCTTGACCATGCATCTCTGATTGATCTTAGCCGAGAAGCCTTGAATGATATTCTCTTATAGTTTCCTGATCGAAAATGTCATCCTTCTTCCTTTTGTAAGGGTGAATTTTGCTGGGCATGTTGAGAAAAGATTCACAAGCTTTGCAAGCATATGAGTGTTTCTTTTTTTCTTTCACAGCTTGAACTTCCATTTCCATGGCTAAATCTGTTAGCATCCTATAAGCTCTATGGATATCTAAAATAAATGTTTTGCAGAACTTTTAGTACAAATTATACATCCAGATAACAATAGGCCAATTGTATGCACTTCCTACTCTGCAACAGCAATTCAAAAATGCATTTTCGTGAGCTGCCTGAGGCCGTCCCTCAGCTTACCCTCTTAGGTAGCCCCTGCTGACTGATTGATGTCATGCACCATGAAATGAGGAGAAGAGAGATCCCCCTCCGAAAAACAGAAGACCTAACGGGAATACAAAGAATTGCATTATGTTCCCAAGTCTGGTCACAGAGGTCCAGAGATCTAGATGTTTCCAGTGTATCGCTTTGCTTGAAGTAACATGAAGTCTCATCACCTGGCTCTTCTAGCTAACAATCGTTAATGCTATGGTATGTGTTCTAAGACCAGCAGATCTGGACTCCCCTGACACAGCAGAATTCAGAAGCAGTGGAATTTCGAAAGGTCACGCCATCTGTAATGGTTAGATCAAGTTAGGGGGCTGAGAGGCTACATGTGGCCAGACGTGGCCACTAGAGACAGGGGGTGGGGCATGGATGGGGTAAGGTGGGAAGTGGGAGGGGTCATGTAGGCCGTGGGCGGGGTCATGTAGGTTGTGGGCGGGGTCAGGCAGAACAGGTGGCACATTGGCGTGGGTCAGCCGGTGCTTCTTGAGGTGGCCCAGCTCGCGGAAGCAGCAGCCACACTGCGCACAGCGGTAAGGTCTCTCGCCCGTGTGGATGCGCTGGTGCTTGTGCAGGCTGTCCAGGTGGCGGAAGCGCTTCTCGCAGTAGCGGCAGGGGTAGGGCCGCTCGCCCGTGT